TTTCATATTCAGCTACTCAGAACGAAATGCCCATGTAGCACAGGCTATGGTGAGCCCGTAATTGTATTCGGTTATTCGTGATAACCTTGCTACTGTGATATTTGGGTCAAAGTTTTAAATGGAGGTGGGGGTTCCTCCTTTTTCCCCTGTTTTTTTTTATGTTTTTTTTTTTTTTTGCTTCTGTTTAAGGCGTGTTTAATAACATTATTTTGGTGGCAGATGTAGGTGCAGAATGTTCGCTAGTGAGTCCCATTCCTCAACAGCTTTTCTAATCATTGTAGTCGCTGTGGAATGTGCATCTAATGCAGCTGCTGTCGTTGGATTAATGTTGAGTTTGATGTGCAGGGCTTCAGTAGCTTCACATTCCAGTAAGTAGTGCAATAGTAGCGCCTAGTAGTAGTAGGTAGTAAGTAGCGCCTCTGCTTCTGTTCCACAGATATAATATTCTTTAACAATTGTGTTTATTACCTCCCAGCAGCACTTGTAACCAAGTCTGAGTCTGTGTATGGCTACTGCAATTTCTCTGGCATTGCTAAAGTAGCAGTAGCAGCAGCTACTGCTACTGCTCTACCTGTTGTAAAGGTTCAAATACCTCCACGTTTTTCACAGATTAAGGGGCAAATCAAGAAGAAAATACTCCCTACTATCAAAAGTCGCCACAGAGCCAAAGTAGCGGAAGGAAGATCCACTGCGATATAGTACGAACAAGCCACTGGGTATTACTCCTTCAAGCCTGACAAAAAGATATTCTAAATACATTTTTAGGGGATTAATATAGTATATATTGCATCTGACTAAACTGGGCAAATGTGGAAAAAACAGGCTGTAGACTAAGCGTGTATAGGATGTGGAGTATGTATGTATGTATGTATGTATGTATGTATGTATGTATGTATGTATGTATGTATGTATGTATGTATGTATGAATGTATGTATTTGTGACTGTTGGTTTAGAAACAATTTAGCTGATTTTAGGAGCAAGATTAGATTTTCAAGGTCTGGGAATGATTTACTATGAATATAGTGGCTAGCATCCACCTGAGTTGTTAGATGGATGAATTGCGGTATGACATTTGGACAGCAATTTGATGGATGTGAGGACAATTGAACACCTGTGAACACAGATACTAATCCACTGAGCTGCCAGTTGTACGATAACTACCTTTGTAATATAATGAATCATTTATCAATCGTGTTATATTGTTGCTGTGCAGGAATTACCCAGATTTAAAATGGTAGAGGAACTGCTATATATCTAGCCTGCAATGATCCATCACTGCGATTACAGAGATTGTCAACTGAAATATCGTGCTTCCACAATGTATATTTGGCTAAAAAATTAGAATGAAAACTATTATTACTATTAAAAATGATAAAAAAATGTATTAATATATATTCTTAAACCCTTGATGAGGTTAGGTTTGGGTTGGATAGTCTTTTAACTTGAAGAATATTATTATTATTACTATTATTATTATTATTATTATTATTATTATTATAAGTATAAATAAACATTGAATATGTATTACAAATAAGTAAGGTACCAGTTAATGCAAGGTATTATTGCATTGCCTCTGACGTCACCTACCGCTAGAGTCGAGCTGCTAAGAAATTTTCTCACCCTGATGTTAATGAGTGGTTAATATAATCCCTCAGTGGAACCGTCTGTGACGTCAGGGGCTGCTAAAGTAATGTACTCCATTGGTTACTAAATACTCCTTGGAGCTGATGACGTAGCTAAGATACTACACTTCCTAAGTAAAAACATAACATAAGAATGAAGGTAACAGCAGAAGACCTATTGGCCCATATGAAGCAGTTTCTTTTGATATCAACCCAATCTAATTCATATAAATGTCTAATCTAAGCTTGAGGCAATCAGGGGATACTACTTCTATCATGTTATGCGGTAATTGATTCCATGAAAACAACAACCCTTTTACCGAACCAGTATTTACCCAGGTCATTTTCCTAAATCTAAACTTATCCAATGTACTCACCTAATTGTGCTTGCGGGGGTTGAGTTTTGGCTCTTTGGTCCCGCCTCTCAACTGTCAATCAACTGGTGTACAGATTCCTGAGCCTACTGGGCTCTATCATATCTAAATTTGAAACTGTGTATGGAGTCAGCCTCCACCACATCACTTCCTAGTGCATTCCATTTATTAACTACTCTGACACTGAAAAAATTCTTTCTAACGTCTCTGTGGCTCATCTGGGTACTAAGTTTCCACCTGTGTCCCCTTGTTCGTGTCCCACCCGTGCTGAAGAGTTTGTCTTTGTCCACCCTGTCAATTCCCCTGAGAATTTTGTAGGTGGTTATCATGTCTCCCCTTACTCTTCTGTTTTCCAGGGATGTGAGGTTCAGCTCCTTTAGCCTTTCCTCGTAGCTCAATCCTCTCAGTTCCGGGACGAGCCTGGTGGCATACCGCTGAATCTTCTCTAACTTTGTCTTGTGTTTAACTAGGTATGGACTCCAGGCTGGAGCTGCATACTCCAGGATTGGTCTTACATAAGTGGCATACAGGGTTCTGAAAGATTCCTTACACAAGTTTCTAAAGGCAGTTCTTATGTTGGCCAGTCTAGCATATGCCGCTGATGATATCCTTTTGATGTGGGCCTCTGGGGACAGGTTCGGTGTGATATCAACCCCCAGATCCTTCTCTCTATTTGACTCTTGCAGGATTTCCCCTCCCAGATGATACCTTGTGTTCAGCCTCCTGCTTCCTTCGCCTAATTTCATCACCTTACACTTTCCTGAGTTGAACTTTAGCAGCCATTTTCTAGACCATTCCTCCAGTTTGTCCAGGTCATCCTGTAGTCTCTGTCTATCTTCATCCGTCTTGATTCTTCTCATAATTTTTGCATCATCAGCAAACATTGAGAGGAATGAGTCTATACCCTCTGGAAGATCGTTCACATATATTAGAAACAGGATGGGTCCAAGTACTGAGCCCTGTGGGACTCCGCTGGTGACATCTCGCCACTCTGATGTCTCCCCCCTCACCGTTACTCGCTGTTTCCTGTTGCTTAAGTACTCCCTTATCCACTGGAGCACCTTCCCTTTTACTCCTGCCTGTTGCTCCAACTTTTTTAACAGCCTTTTGTGGGGTACTGTGTCAAAGGCTTTTTGGCAATCCAGGAAAATGCAGTCGGCATTGATGAAAATGCAGAAAATTTCCTGCCTAATTTTCGTTGCCTGGTCATAAAATTCTATTAAACCTGTGAGGCACGATTTACCATCTCTGAACCCATGTTGGTGGTGCGTTACAAAGTTATTTCCCTCCAGATGCTCTACGAGTCTTTTCCTCACGATCTTCTCCATCACCTTGCATGGTATACAAGTTAAGGAAACTGGCCTGTAATTCAGTGCCTCTTGCCTGTCACCCTTTTTGTATATTGGGACCACGTTAGCTGTCTTCCAACTTTCTTGTAAGTCTCCTGTTTCCAGTGACCTGTTATACACCATAGAGAGTGGCACACTTAGTGCTTCTGCCCCTTCCTTTATTATCCATGGTGAGATTCTATCAGGCCCAACAGCCTTTGTCACATCCAGCTCCAGCAGACACCTTTTGACCTCATCACTGGTGAGGTCAAATTCCTCCAAGGTTGCTTGGTTTGCCGCCTCCTCATGTATACTCATGTATACCTCATGTACTCATGTACTCATGTATGCCGCCTCCCAATGTATACTCATTGTTGTGTGTTCTATTGTGTTGATACTTTTAACACCTTATTAATATCCACTTTGCTATGTCCATTCACCCATTTGTACATCTCTATAAATATCAGGTGTAGATAAACTCAGGGCGCAAACAATCTAAATTGGATAAGTTTAGATTTAGGAAAGACTTGGGTAAATACTGGTTCGGTAACAGGGTTGTTGATTTGTGGAACCAATTACCGCGTAACGTGGTGGAGGTGGGGGTCCCTCGATTGTTTCAAACGTGGGCTGGACATGTATGAGTAGGATTGGTTGGTTATAAATAGGAGCTGCCTTGTATGGGCCAATCGTCCTTCTGCAGTTACCTTTCTTCTTATGTTACACTTATGTAAACTTATGTTCTTATGTAATCTTTCTCAAAACTTTGAAATAGTCTTTGCTAATCAGTAAAAAGAATTGGAGCAGATAGTTAGGCGATAACTACTGATAGGGGCTTCTGCATATTAATGGAGTCACATGACTTTAGGGTATAAGTAGATAAATGGGGATGAAAGGAGTATTAAATAGTTCGGATATTTAATATACATTGGGTAAGACATGGGTAAATACCAGTGTGAGCATTGTGCTATTCCCTTTGCTTCTCATACATAGACCTTCTGCAGTTTATCGCATAGTGGCAGATGATGTTTGGTTCAACATGGGCTGGAAGTAAATAGGAGATACTGTATAGTCCCTCCAAAAAGACCTGCAATTTCATTCTTATGTTCAATATATGATGTTTATCCATAAATAGTCTTTGAAAATGGGAAAAATATGAAAATGGGATTAAAACATTGTCAATGGCTTTGAATATGCTATCACAGAAAACGGAGATATTGATGAAGATGAAGTTTGGCTGGCTGATGATATCATTGACCATTAGGGACGACTGTGTCTGTGTGGGTCGCCGAGGTAACTGTATTTCGGGACGACTGGAGGCGGCCGTTTAATCCCCATTGTTTAAAAAACAAGGACCTGAAGGGAGCTGTTTAATTCCCCCTTTGAAAAATTATATACGACGGCATGGAGCAGTAGATAAATTTCATGAAAAAATTAAATCTCTCCCTATGCCATAGACCGACCGTTGGAATAAATGGAAAACCGCCCATATGACTATGGTCTTCCATTGCGGAAAAATTAAAACACCCCTATAACTGTGGCCGGCCGTCGAAAAAAGGAAAATGGCTGGCCATAGTCATAACTCCCACTACTCAGGGAGACCCCCAGCAGGGGCGAGGGCGTTCCTTTATGACAAGAGGGAAGTCAGGGAGATCCCCAGCACGGGTGTAGGGCGTACCTGTATGACCGGAGGAGAGTCAGCGAGACCCCCAGCAGGAGAAGACCAAGGAAGCCGCCCACCAGCCCCAGGAAGGCCCCCATCAGCGGGGACACAGACGCTGACGACACCTCCCCCATCCTCTTCTCGGCCACCTGTCGGAACACACGTGTGTTAACCCCAGTGTATTGATCCCCAGGCTGAGGCAGGGACAGTAGGTAATGAGGGTGTGAGGCAATGTTCATAGGTAATTAGGGTGTGTGAGGCAGTGTATGTAGGTAATGAGGATGTGAGGCAGTGTGTATAGTGTTATGATCACCATCTAAAAATAGTCCTTTCCTGCCTCATGAATCCACCTAGAAAGTGCACAGAAAGCTCAAACTATGATTTAAGTTAAAAGGAACGAGTGTTATACTCAATCTTGCATGATATTTGACTTTAAAGGGATGAATTGTGCCAGATTACGAAACAAAATGGCGCCCAGGCGGGCGGTGGCACAATCAAGAACTTGTGGAGAGCAGCGACACATGCCTCAAGCTCATATAACGTCAAAGGTGACTGGCGGGGCTCAGGTGCTCAGCCAATCAGCACGAGCTTTTTGTGCCGTTATTGGTTGGCACCGAGCCCGCCCCAGGGAGCGGAGCCCGGCTCACTGTTTGACTAGACATAATATGAGGAGGTTGTGACCTTGGGAGCTCTCACAAAAATCAGCAGATTAAGATCTTAATGAGGGTGTAGGGTATTTTTAACTGTGGGTTCTTCTTAACCACTCCTTGCACTTGCCTAGCCGAGGATAGTTTCAGGTTTGGTTTGGTTTGAGTCTTTTAGGGCATTGCTCAGTTAGGTTAGGTTTCAAGTCTAGGTAAGGCTTTGCTTCATTAGTTCTCGAGTTGCTCGGCCACCGGTCTCCAGGGGCGAAGTTAGGATAGGTTGTCTACTGATTCCTATGTCAGGCCCAGTTAGCCTGACATAGGAATCATTTATCTACCGCTTCCCCTTGTAGTAGAGACTAAATAAAATAGTCTCTACTACAGGTATTTGAATGAATAAGCTATTCTATAGTTAGGAAAAGAGTGAATGAATAGGTATAGACTCGGTAGTAATAAGGTACTGATAGAATCTTCTGCAGTTTGTATAGGTGGCAGGATTGGAGAGTATAAGTGGATGCAATGGGTATAGACTCGGTATTAGTAGAGTATTCTGTAGTTGTATATATGTAACACGATTGAAGGGTATAAGTTGGGGTATTGATAGGATCTTCTGCAGTTGGTATAGGTGGCACGATTGATGGGAATAGGTGGATACAATGGGTATAGACTGAGAATTAATAGGGTATTCTGCAGTTTTTATATAAGTGACATGATTGTAGGGTATAAGTGGATAAAATGGGTATGGAAAAAGGGGTTTTAATTAGGGCAATGATTGAACCAACATGGGTGGAAAATACAAAGGTGGTCCTGTAAGGTCCCCCAAAAAGGCTTTCTGCAATTTCAGTCTTTTATTCTATAGGCGATCTTTTACCCAGAAAATATAATTGAAAATGAGATTTAATATTATATTCTTGAAAAGTGGATTAAATATTCCATCACAGACAATGGACTTATTATGGGAAGATGAAGGATGACGTCAATGCACATTAAGAATGACGGAAGGGAGCCCTTTAATGCCTCGGGTAAATATCCAAAATGGGGATAAATATGAAAATGGGATTATATATGCAGTTATGGAAAACGGATTTATTGAGTGAAGATGAAGGATGGCTGTAGGTGACACCATCGAACATAGGGGATTAGCTGTGCCTGTGCGGGTTGCTGAAGTGAGCATATTTCAGGATGATGGGAGGCAGTTGTTTAATCTCCTCGGGTACAATAGCATGGGACAGAAGCGGCCATTGCCGACGTTCACGGAATTTTTTTTAGAGGTCAGAGGCCAGCTGTCACGTTTCACAGGAAAATAATCAGGGGCCATAGACCGGCAGTCACTAACATTCACGATAAAAAACAGGGGCCATAGACCAGCAGGCTGGAAAAACAAAACTCCCAGTCTATGGCCCAGTTTCCACTACTCATGTGATGACTGGTGGTGCATGTGATGACTGGTGGTGCATGTGATGACTGGTAGTGCATGTGATGATTGTGGTTGTACATGTGATTTTTTTTCAGGGATATTCCTGCACGGGCTCTAAGCCTCTGGCTGCTCCACTATGTATTGCTTGTTTCTGTTTTACTTTGGCAGAGTATGAGTATTTATGACTTGCATAGTTGTTTCAGTAAGATTTTGCCACGTGTGTTTAACAACTTATTCTACCCTGTTGAATCTAAGTTGAAATCTTAATGAGTTTGTAACTCTACACTGAATTAGATAATGTTCCAGTGATCTGTCGGGCATTTCTCCAGTGCTGACATTTCCTCTCATCTTCTGGCACCTGTAAGCCTATTTAACATGCACATGGGTATTCATGCCTGATGCGATGTAAGTGTACTTCTGTTGTTCTACTGCTCCCGTTCATTAAAATAAGCAACCCGTCTCGCACTTGCCTTCAGTCAATATTGGCTTATTTAATAAGTTCATATGTGACATACTAATTGATTGTGAATATTTAAGTTTACCTTGAAAAGCTTCATAAAAAACAGCGACCTCACCTAACCTTCTTAGTATGTTAAGATAAGCATCTTATTGCTTCTTAATTACAATTATTACTTAACCTATACCGTTGATATGTTAAGTAATAATTGTAAATAAGAAGCAATAAGATGCTTATCTTAACATACTAAGAAGGTTAGGTGAGGTCGGTGTTTTCTATGAAGCTTTTCAAGGTAAACTAAAATATTCACAATCAATTAGTATGTCACATATGCACTTATTAAATAAGCCAATATTTACTGTAAGCAAGTGCGAGAACGGGTTGAAATAAGTGGTTTGTAATTGATTGAATTCTTGTACCAACCCGCAGATCCTGATGTTACAACTGTTGTGCTGTGGTCACTGTAAATTTTTTCTTTGCTCTACTTCTAATTACTTTCTTAATCTGTGATAGACTCGCTGGTATGTAAATGTTTACATTTCTTCTCTTAGTTGCAAGTTTTGCAGTTTCGTCTGCAATGTCATTTCCAATTATTCTCACATGAATTGGCTCCCAGTTGATAAGACCTGAGGACCTTGACGTTTAAGTGTTTGCATTCATGATATGACATTTGTGATCAGGTGGATGTTGTCATGTATGTGTACTTGTTGCAAAGTCTCAATGGCAGTTTTCGAATCTGTATGTATTATAACATGTTGTCGGTGATCAGCAAGAGCATATTCCGAAGCCTTTTGAATGGCTCTCATCTCTGTTTGTAAAGTTGAACACCCATTTGAGTCTCCAACTATTTGCAGAGTTTCCTGCCTTAACTACAGCTCCAGTTTCTTGCCCCTGCTGGTCTACTGATCTATCTGTGAAGTGTGTGAAGCTGTCAGATGCCAAGATTGTTTCTTTCTGCATCTGTGCAATATTACGTAGCAGATGAGGACTAGTCTGGTTCTTTTTTATTCAAGAGCAATCTTTATAGTCTTCTGGCAGAGATTCCCAAGGGGCTTGCATAACAAAGTCTGCATGTATTTCATCGAAACCCTTCTCAGTGACTATTTGTTATATCAAATGTATTGATGGTGTTTATTTAGTAATAAAATGCTGCATTTAGATGTTACTTTATCTAATGCCACTTGTGGTTTATTTAGAAGTGGAGGACTTGTAATTACTAATGCTATATCATCAGCATAGTTCAGCAATTTAACCCCTTCTGTAAATGTAACGAGGTTTTTCCATAAGGATGTTAAGAAGACTTGGACTGAGGACTCCTCGCAGTGGAGTCCCATTCTCGTGTAAGTGGTAATACGAAACGTGTCCGTGCAATGAACAAATCCACAAGGGCCGTGATGAGGCTTCGAACTTATGTCTGGGATGATCCTAGACCCACCTTAGTCGACTGCGCCACGACATGGTTAAAGTAAATGCAATCTGGAGTGCTACTGCCCTCACAAGGCTCCCGCAGCTTCTCCAAAGCACAGACCGGGATTTTAGACAATTTACCCATGCCCCCGGGCTCTGTCAACCAAATGGTCTACCTCTTCGCCCTTATTTCAATACACAATTCATGGGGGAATTGTGTAAAACCCTGGTCTGTGCTTTGGAAAAGCTGCCGGAGCCTTGTGAGGGCAGTAGCACTAGAGGTTGCATTTCTTTTAACCATATTGTGGCACAGTCGACTATGGCGCATCTGGGATCATCCCGGACGTAGTTTCGAACCCTCATCACGGCCCTTGTGGATTGGTTCATTTGATGCATCACACTGTTGTGATTTCTGTGAGTTTGTCCTTGCAACTTTACTCTGACATACTTGTGACTTAGGTAATCTTGAATTCACGCTAGAATATTTCTCCTTACACTTTTTTAACTAAGGTGTGCACAATTGCTTGCTGGCTTGCAAGTTCGAATGCTTTTTCTAGATCAAGGAAGATCACTATAGCCGGACCTGAGTTAACTGTTCCTAGTAATGTTGCTATACAGTTGGCAGTACCTACTCCTCTTGTGAAGCCAAATATGTGTTTATGCAGGTCTCCAGTCTTCCACAGTAGTCTATTTAAGACCATCCGTGCTGCAGTTTTACTAATGCATGATGTTAATGAAATGGGCCTGTAATTGTTAGGCTCTTTCGGCTTAGGAATCGGAATGATGTCTGTTTTCTTCCAAGAGGTCGGTAGTTTGCCTTGCTGTCAAGATGCATTGATAACGTCCAATATCCCTTGTTCTCCAGCAGGACCTGCATGTGCGATCATTGAGTATGTAATGTTATCAGCACCTGGTGCAGTGTCCTTACCACCACTTATGAGCTCTGATTAGTTCTTGTTTGGTGAAGGGACAATCACATTCGTCATTTGTAGCTATGCTCTCTTTAATGGTTGTCAACCTTTCTTGTTTTAATTGTTCTTGCTTTAATATGAAGCTGCTGTTTCTGCAAATTGGAGTGCAAGACTCTCAGCCTTCTGCAATGTTGCATACATGCCTGTGGTCGGGCTGGTCGACCTGATATGGTTTTAATCTGGCCCCATATCTTGCCAAGACTACTATGTTCATTTAGAGTTTGACACCACTCAAACCATCTTGCCTCCTTTA